GGTAGGGGGCGGTGGCGGCAGAGGGGTTGCATCAGGGAAGCAACCTAAAATTGAAACCGAACAAACAAAATCAGAGTTGGCGAAGCGAGTAAAGTGGGAACGGGGCAGTGCTGAAGGTGTCGCCTCACTCTGTGAGCTCCCCCAGGTCTGCACCCCTCTCCCAGCTCCGTGTGTGCGTGGCCTTTTCCTGGCTGAGATCGTGAGGGCCCAGGGGCACATCTTCACGTTGTAAAGGTGCACAGTGTGTCTGTAAGTGGTGAGTAGGCATCCGCTCCCGCTTTCCCTCCTTCTGGAAGAAGTCAACACAGCTGGGCGTCGCATTCATAGGCGTGGCTCTCCTGAAACATTTCCCTTCCCAGGTATATACTCTCTGTCTTGGCAGTGGGGTGAATGGGGTCCACGGGCCTTTGGCTTCCTGGGGTGGGGGGCGTGGCCTGTCCGTATGTTTACCCCCCGGACCCAGAGGAAAACCCTTGAAACTGAGTTCCTAAACTGCGGGGTCCAGACACTGCTGGCCCTGGGCGCTGAGCCTCGCGGCTGGTGGCTCTGCAGCCCCGTGCTGGGTCCTGCTCCGTGTGTCTGAGCTCGCCCTCCTGGCACCGGCTGGGTGGCCCCTGAACCTGTGTCACCGCAAAGCACCCGTGGACACCGCTGTCCAAAAGTCCTAAGGGGCGTTTTTGAGCATTTTCTCCAAATGTAGCTTCCTTTTTAATTTGGATGAAAACTTGAGTTTTTATTTTGACTTGAAAATTATATACGTGTGTGTGTACACGTACGTTTAGCTGGGTATAAATGTTGGTATTAGTATGAAAACAGTCGATGTTCTAAGTAATTGGATTGGGGCTTTTACTTTGCTTTAAATCTCTAGCTCTCCATGAACACGGTTAACGTCCTGCAGGACACTGGTTGCTCAACTAGGCTGCGATTCCTTTTTGTACAGATCAATACTGTCTCGTGTGGTCCCGTGTTTTGTGTTGTGTCTTTGAGCTGCACTTTCCATAGGAACTGTTGCTGCCAAAACACCAGCTAAAAAATACAAACAGCTCACTAGGTATTTGGACCTAAACATGTTTGTGCCCAAGTCGGTTGACCAAGAGGCACATAACCAGGTAGTTTCATGTTTGTTACACTAGTGACGCGTATAGGACAGGTGTCCAGCCATCGGTTTATGGCTTGTGACACAGCGTGTGCTCACAGCTGAGGTGAAGCATGCGGGGCGCCGTGGCATTTCTCTGTTCGTCCCTTGGAAGGGCTGGGGACGCTCCTGGCCGTGCCCGTGGGAACCGGGTCGGCAGCTGGGCGCGCTCTGGCGCTGGGACTGGGCCCTGCTTCCTCTGCGGCTCAGTGTATGTGTTCCTGCGGTTGGCCTGAGTCCTGGGAACGAGACGTTCATCACGGTAGGTCAGGGTCACCTACTGAGTGACGGGGGCAGTCCTGTGTCAGTCTCCGGTGTCAGCTGCCCTTCCCGCGGGAGATGGTGGTCTGTCTGACTGCCGTGATGGGACCTGGGGGTTTGTTAGTGTGCCCTTTGTGACACGTTTGTCACTTAGGTAGACACCATACTGTTTTACAGCATGAGGCTTTATTTGTGGGGCGTGTGGCTCTGTCTGCAGCAGAGGTGAGTGAGCACGACATCCCTCCCTCCGCAGCCCGCCGCCGTAAGGTGCCGGCATCGGGAGCGGCGGGGCCGTCCACAGGGGCGCCGAGCTCAGAGCGCTGGTAGGACAGCGCGTCCACACCCAGCGCGTCCGTATCCCGCGTCCACGCTGCCTGGCCTCCCCGCGCACCTGGTGTGTTGGCTCGAACGTAGCCGTACTTCCCAGTAACTTCCTACTGTGTTTCTGGAAATAGAAGTTGGAGGAAAAGTCTTACAAAGTCAGGGTCTGTAACCGTAAAGCTTTTTAAGAAATAACTAAACTTTTCCAAAATGTCCCCATCCTGTGGATTTGGGGCGTCAGGTCTGGTGAGGTGCCTGGGAGAGCGAGGGGCCGGGCCGCTCTGGGTCCCGCGTCCTCTGGACGGAGTCAGCTGGCTCCGGAGAATCTGAGGTCAGTTGTGCCTTTCTGACCTACTCCTGGGTTTATCACCCCGGATTCAGAGGCCCCACCCCCCTATTGGTAAAGATGGTGCCTGACCCTTGTTTCCTTATCTTCACTGAGGCGGTAGGCGGGGCTCTGGGCACACGGGGTGGGGACCCGCGGGGCCTGGTCACCGGGACTGACCCAGCGCGCACTTCTCGCCCGTAGTGACACGTCAGAACTGAGGCGGACGTTCAGCAAGCGGGTCGCGAAGTCGCCGGGCGGTGTGTGCTCTGTGCGGCCTTGTGCGGCCTCGCACTTCCTGTCTTGTCTCCTGGGGCATCTGTTGGGGACGTGCGATGTTCCGCTGCTGACGGCGTTCCGGCTACTGTGCACCTCGGTCACGTGACCCTCAGCCTCCGGGCGCGGGTGACCTTCCACGTGTGGCCACGCCGCTGTTTCCCTGCCTGGGTGGGTGGAGGATGCTAGATCTGGAGGTGCCGTCGAGCGAGCTGCTCCTTGTCAGCCTGAGCAGGGTCCACACCTGCCGCCGACGGTGAGAGCGGGGTCCCAATGGCTGCGGACGACGGCGTCAGAGAGGAGGGTGAGCCGGGGCAGGGACCTCCCGAGGGAGGCCCTCCGGGAGAGGAGGCCGCGGCCCCTGGCACGGCCGGCCCACCGCGGCGGGACACCGGAGTCGGCCCCCACACCGGGTCGTGGGCTCCCCAGGGACCGTGTGGTCTCGGCTTCAGCCCTTTCCCTGGACACCGACGCTGATGCTCCATGTGTACGGCCTCCCTGGCCCTCCGGGCTTTGTCTGCGTGGCGCCCACCAGGCGGCCCCGAGTGGCGGGCTCGCTGCGAATCACATACGAGCCAGGCGGGCCCCCTGGCCCGCATCCGAATTTTGCCGCGGTGGCTCGTCGTCAGAGCCGTGAGGTGCCGAGCCGGGACGTTCGAGGGGCCGTTTCAACGCGGAGGGAACGTATCACGGCCCCCTGGTCCTGTGAGCCCAGCCACTCCGATTCAGCAGCTTCCAGCGGCCGCGCCGGCTTCCACTCTGGTCCGGCAGTGCCCTGCGGCCCGCCAGCGCCGGCCGGCCGAGCGGGTCGTGACGTCGCGTCGCTCCGTGACGTCGGGTTCACCGGGACGCACGTGTGTCCCGGAGATGCCGACGTGACTGCAGCACCACTTCCCGTGAGTGAGGTTCCAGTGAGTCCTTGAAGCGTCCAGGGGGTGGCAAGTGCGCTCGGAGCGTCCCGTTACTAAAAATTTCATTTTACGTTTGTATCTTGGAGCCTCAGCTCCGCGCACTGCTGACGTGTCTGTTTCTTTTAACTTTATGTGTTGCCCACCCCCCCCACCCCGCGCCCCCTCCTATCTGTCCATTTGTGTCCTTGGAGCTCACTTGTCAAAAGACCCGGGTCGTTTTCTCCTGTGGGGTCACCTGCAGCTGGGTCTTCCTGACTGTGGTCCTTAGAGGTGTTTGTGCCTCTGTTCTGTGAGTGTCTAACGGGGGCGGGGTCAGGTCCGACTCCTGGTCTCTTCATGGCGAGGTTCCTGCGTGGGGCGCTTCCAGCCTCGAGATGCAGTTTCCCTGGGGTGGGGGTGGGAGGCGGGCCGAGGGTCACGTTCTCTTGCGTCCCGGTAGCCCGAGGACCTGCGTGAAAAGAAACTGGGCGGCCTGAGGAAGGTGGAAGAAATCGGATCTCTGCTTTTGTTTATCGGTTTTTATCTCTAGTAAGGCGCTTACTGAATTTTTAAAGTCTGTAAAGTCACAGACTTGAGCCTAGCGTGTTTTGGTGCCTGCAGTTACCGTGAGTGCCGTTGTCCCTTGGATTCCCTCCCCTGCCCTCTCCTCCCTCCCCTGCCCGGCCCTCCCCGGTTGGGTGTTTCCTCAGGTTGGCCGCCCTCTGGGGGCTGTATTCCTCTCCTCTGTGACAGCAGGGTGCTGCTGGTGACAGTCCCTCCCGTGGCTCTTCCTGACCTGTCCCAGTGGGTGGCTGGTGCGGCGAGGGGAGCCTGGGACAAAGCCCACCAGGCAGTTGTTAGCGGTCTGGAATCCAGGTCCTGGCAAGTGAGAGAAGCGAGAGGGGTTTGCATTCAAGTTCTTGCACTGTTTCTGTACGTTTGAAGTTGCATCCACAGGAAGCGCCAGAAGCGTGTGTGTGTCTGCACTCGAGACACTTGTGTGCGACTGTGCCCGTGCCGGCTGGACCTGGGGACCTGGGGGCCTGGGGGCACTGTCCACATAAACTTGGATCGCATGAAATTATGAAGCTGTTGTTTTTGGCTCTACGAATTTTTCTTTTCCTCTTGTTCCAGGTGAATGAAAACTTTGCCATCGATTTGATAGCTGAGCAGCCCGTGAGTGGAGCTGACCGTCGGGTGGTCGCGTGTGACGGCGGCGGGGGGGCTCTTGGCCACCCGAAAGTGTACATAAACCTGGTACCGTGTCCCCTGTCCTTGCTGTCCTAGTCCGAGGTGCCCTGTTGAGAGCGGCCGCCGCAGTGCCGACCTCGACCGCCCACCTTCCCGCTCGATCTGCCCGTGGACCCTGCCGCAGGGACCCCGTGAAGGGCACCTGTCCCCCGGGACGCGCCTTCACGCCTTGGGATGCGTCGTCTCGCGCTGGGACGCGCCGTGAGGTGCTGTGTGAAGTACTTTGTGTGGCCAGCGCCGACTGTCCACTCTCCTTCCACGCGCCTACTCTGTCTTCCTGGGACCGCCGTTTCGGCCCCTGTGCGCGTGGATGGGTGCGCAGAGCCTTAGGGAAGATGAGACGCGGGGCCGTTAGCGGAGAAGGCGACCAGGGGCTGGGGCTCAGCTGCTGTGGCGTCATGGAGGGGAAGGGGGTCAGCAGTGCCCCGCTGTCCCGTCCGCTAGGGGCCGGCGTGCGCCCGGACCGGACCCCGGTCCGGGGGCGCGCGGGTGGGCCTCTGCTCGGCACCCCACGCGCTCCCGTCCGTTGAGTTCTGTGCTCAGGGCCAGAGCTCGGCCGTCCCGGGCCGGGAGGGCAGATGGGCATCGAGCTAAGGCCCCAGGCGGCCGCTGCGCCCATCCCCGCTCCCTGCGGTGCTCCTTCGAGAGGACCACGGGTTCTGGCGTAGGTGCTGAGCTGGGGTTCAGTCCGCTGCCCCGGCTGCAGCGAGACCTGGGCCCCCGGTGCCACCATGGCTCTTGGTCCCGTAGCGACCTCAGAGCTTTTCCGCCGTCTCTAGGTGAGGCTGTAACTCAGGTCCGTGTCTGCTGTCTCAGTGTTTACACTTGGAGTAGAATGTGGAAACATGAGGTCTCTCCTCTTGAATCTTTTCAGGACAAGGAAACCAAAACTGGGACGTGCGGCTATTGTGGACTGCAGTTCAGACAGCAGCATCACCATTAGCGTGGCCAAGCTGTGCACGCGCGGGCGTCTCCGCCTTAACACGCAGCAGCCAAGAGCCCGGTGCTGTCACGGGGCGCCGCCGGCTGAATAAAGGGCGTCGTGACCCAGGACGGCGAGCCGCACGCGTGCTGCTTTCAGAGAGGACTTGGGAACGAGCACCCACCTGGAAGGGCAGGGTCCTCCTCCGGGCGCGCGGGGGGCCTCGCGGCACCTCCTGCGATCCGGGTCACCGCACCGGGTGGCCGAGGGGCGGGAGGGAGAAGGGCTTCTCCGATTTTGCGGACGAATTGGAGGTTCGTCAGGCTTAGGAGCTCCCACAGGGGCCGGTGCTGGGTTCAGGCCTCCACCCTCTGACTGGAAGCGTGTGCTCTCCCTGCCACTCCCCTGCGCCTGCGCTTCATTGTGTCCTCATCTTTAGGGTGAAATATAGACTCTTAAAGCCCGGGAACTAAGCATCTTCGGAAGGTACGGTCACCTACGGGCCAAATTCAAGGCAATCCGTGTAATGAAAAGAGGAATGGGTGTGAGGTGACACAGAAGTAACAGGACTTTAGAGGGGAGGGGAAGGAGGCTGGGTGCAGCCCCCGTGGGCTCTGACCTGTGGCCCGTGGGGTCCCGGAGGAGGCTCCTGACGCAGATGGAAGGTGAGGCCCTGACTAAACCAGGAAGGAAGGAAGGAAACCCACAGACCACGGGGCCCCCGCATCCCAGGGGGACCCGTGAGAAAGGACAGCGGGACGTGTTCTGATCACAAAGCACTGAAGCCCGAGCCTTTAGGGGCCAGAGGAAGGGAAACTGTTAGGGCGTCAGGAAGAAGGAATAGATCACCCAGTGCAGAGGTTCGCGCAGAGCGCCTCGGTTTTCAGTCCTGGAAGCTGGACACGGGAGTAGTGTCACTGGCCTAGGGCAGTCAGGAGTCCTGTGCACGAGGTCGTCCCCCACGGCATGTGGAGAACTCGCAGAGGCCCTCCTGGACCCCATCTCCAGCAAGGGGAGGCGCCATCTGGGAGCGCACAGTGGGTCCTCATGAGGCTCCTTGGCTGGAGCCACACAGGACGGTGGGCCTCCGAGCAAGTGTCGGAGGAGGGGCGGGGTGGGGGGAAGGGGCCAAGGGACCCTGAGGCCCTGGGGCAGGGGAAGGGGAGTGGGAGGATGCACATGCGAGGGAAACCACGCTGCCTGTGTCTAGTAACCTCAGGGACTGTCCGACTACAGCTGGCTGGCTGCGTGGGGTGGGGCACGGGTGGGGGTCGGAGGGTGTCCGTACATGGAGCACGGGGGTGGCGGGGGCCGATGATGTCATCGTGCAGAGCAGTGGTGGGGGGCAGGTGGCATCACCATGCAGAGGTTCTGGGACTTGGGTGAGATTGTCCTCCACGTGAAGGCCAGGGGTGCGGGGTCCCGTGACCTGATGCAGAGGCGGGTGTGCTCGAGTGACGTCATGGTGTGGAGTCGGGAGACCGCCTCACTCAGAGCACGGGACGCGTGGCCTGGGTGATGTCATCAGGCGGAGCAGGGGGGCCTGGGGGGCCCCAGTGGTGTCATCCACGGGAGTATCTGGGGCAGGTGGGGGGTTTCTGGATGATGTCAGCCCTGAGCCCCTGTCGCCTGTCCCCTGCCTGGCCAGGCAGGGGTCCTCCTGGGCCGAGCATGCCGGGAAGGGGCTGGTGACCCAGTGTGTCTGTGTGTGGCAGTCGCCTGGCTCTCCGGCGGGATGTGCTGGGGACCCCCTCCCACCGCGGGATTGGTGATCTCCCGAGGACGAGTAGGTGGGTGCCACAGACACCAGGGCGTCCAGGGAGGAAAGGCTACTGCAAACCGGGGGCTCGAAACCCAGGACGGCGGCCAGAAGTCTGGAATGGGGTGGCCCCAGGGCCCCGGTGCCCTCCCTCCGAAGGCACAGGCAAGCCTCTTCCGGGCTCCCTGTGGCTTCTGGGCTCGCAGGCCATCGCCCCTCTCTGCCTCGCCCCTCTTCCCTCCGTCCTGCCCGAGTGTCCTGTCTGAGCACGGTCATCGGCAGGGGCCCTGCTCCACTGTGACCTCGTCTTCACCAGTGACCCCTGCAAAGACCGGGTTTCTAAATAAGGCCTGTTCTTCCACTCAGTGGATGAGGGTTTGGGGGACACATCCCCCCCAGGGAACGTGGGAGCGGGGTACATGCTCCTCCCACCTGGCGTCAGGGCAGACCGCACCCCGAGAGTCTGGGCGTGTGCCCAGAGGGACGGCGTGTCCTGGCAAGGAGCCACGGGAGAAGAGGGGGTTCGCCTTCCCTTTATGAGAACGTTTTCTGCATAAACACACACGTTTGACAAGTTTGCGTAAGGTGAAAACGCAACATTCTGTCTCCCAGTTAACCTTGAGACGTAAAAATGGAAATACGTATTTCTGGAGCCAGAGGAAGCAAACGAAAACCCACTAAAGTGGGAACAGCCAAATGCAGGTTTCCCGAGAGGGACCAGAGGCACCGAGGAGCAGTGGAGGTCCCAGCCTGAGGGCAGCCCCCTCCTCCCAGCTCTGAGAGCCACTTCCTGATCCGTGCTGTGAGTCTGCTGACAGTGCTGTGTGTGCGCCTCGTGGGGCCGCCCCTGCCCCCAGCGGGCCTCCGGGGCCAGGCTGCTCCCTGTAGTGCAGGTGGGAAGCTGAGGGAGGCCTCTCCTGACCGCCCACGCCCTCGGGGAGGTGGGGGGGGTCCGTGCCCAGCCCAGCCCTGCGCCCCTACGCTAACTCGACTCGGCCACCTACGCTAACTTTCCTCTTCGGGACCCGAGAGGAGAAGTAAACCTGACGAGTACTGGGCTTTGATGAAGGGGGAAACGTATCGAAATGACCGGTTGTCTGCAGGCAAGCGCATAAACTGTTTAAGGGCAATGTCCGGTGGCATGGTCACTCCGAGAAGCCTGCCTGCCTGCGGTCGGGGGCGGGTGGCATTACTGGTGGGACAGGTGGCCCTCGCGAGGCGATGCAGGTGTAGGTGCGAGACCCCTTGTGCAAACACGCCTGCCCCACCACCCCTGTCGCGTCCTGCCCGAGCACAGTTCCCAGCACCGCCCTGGATGGAAGTATGCTGATCTGCGGGGTACCTTAGACAGCCCTCCCTGTAGAAAAGCAGACCGGCTCGCATGGCCAGTGGTAGCGGGAGCACGTGCGGTGTGGAGTGGAAGGTTTCCCCCTGGAGCGGATTCAGGCCAAGGCAGGGGCTGGGCCACGCAGCCAGCAGGGTGGACGCTGGTCTGCAGGAGAGGAGGCGAGGCTTCTGGACCGGCCCAGCAGAGCACTGAAGAGGGAGCCTGGCCGTTCAGAGCTGTGCTGGGGGCTCCCGGGACTGTTCCCAGGGGGCGTGCTCTCTGTGGGCTGTGAGGGGTCCCTACTTCTCAGAGACAGCTGTCCTTTGCAGGCCAGGATAGCCACCGGGATACGCTGCTTTGCAGTCGGTGTCCCTGTGTTCAGGGGACGGCAGAGACCGGGGACAGAGGCCACGTGCATGGTTCCGGGTGAGGGGTGTTGGCCTGTAGCTCCCTGTGGTTGTGGCTCAGGACCCCGGTGCTTCTCAGGTTGAGCTGGATGGACAGACAGCCCCGAGGTTCCTGCTTGTCTAAGAAACACGAACCAACCCCAGGCCCCAGGTCTGGGGCGGCTCCCTGGCCCCAAGGGCCCATGTGACAGGTCCTCCCCACTCCGGGAGACGTCGCCTGTGGACCAGACGTGGTGCAGGGCCCCCAGACACGCTGGCTCCTCCCTCCGCCCTGATGCCTGCACAGTCTGCGTCCCGTGGCCGCTCCTGTCTTCCTTGATTCAAGTTTGGGCGATGCTTCTACCTCCTTTCTCCTGCAGCCCTCCTGCTTCCTGTTTGAAGCGAGGTTCTCATGGGCAGCGCAGGGTTTTGTGAATCCGCTCTGCCAACCTGTCTCTTAATTGATGTATTTAGACCGTTTGCACGGAACGTAGTTGTTGAAAAGTTAGGGCTCACGTCTGCCTCTTTTGGGTTTGCTTTTGTTCCGTTGCTATGTGTGGTTTCCTTCCCCCGACACCCCCGCCCCCCGCCCCGGCCCCGTGGGTTCCCGGAAGAGGTTTAGAGTTCCAGAGCTGGTGCGGACTGACGATGGCTCCCCTCCCCTCCCGCCCTGGCGGCCCCAGCAGGGTTTGGCGGTGGTGCCCGGCCGGTGGCAGGCTGGTTCCGCCGTGGCCTGCGCGGCGTGGTGCGGGGGTGGGCCCCGCGACAACTGTGGCGCTTCGCTGTGCCGCCGTCCGCCTCCTCGGCTGGTTCTCTGGCTGGAGGGCACGGGCCTTGGTGTTTGTCCGCAGACTTTGGCCTCCAGAGCTCCTTCCGCCCATGCCTGGGGTCCGCGAGGCGAAGGGAAGACCCGGGAGCTCGCCAGCTGGTCTGCGGGTCCCCTGGGCCAGTGGCCCAGCTGGTCTGCCATGCCCCTCTCAGAGTCCTCGACCTCTGCTGTGGGAGCAGCGCCCAGTGCGGCGCGTAGCGGGAGGGGTAGGGACGGCACATGGGCTCCACGCTCCCAGAAGTGGAGGACCACGCCATCTCCTGCGGGGAAGGACACGCACACCCGGGACTGGCGCTGCTGGCCCGGGGTGCCGTGCAGGGGGAGGCAAGGTGGACGGCCTGGCCCCGAGGTCCGAGAGCCGGCCTGCTTGTCCGCGTGTGCACCCGGGCCGTGCTGCTCCCCCGGGAAGCACCTCCATATAGATACCACCCAGCCTGGGCCCTTGGCCTCCTGGTGCCCACACCCGGGGGCCCCTGTGCCCAGTCGCCGTGGCCACAGGGAGGAAGGCCAAGCATGCTTCCTCTCCACGCCGGCCTGATGGAGGCGCCAGCTGCCAGCTCACAGACCAACGCTGGATGCTCACACGGGACCTCCCGCGAGGCGCCCCCCTCACGGGGGGTGGCACCCGCTCTGGGCACGGCGGCCGTCCCTGCTCCCAGCCTCCTGCCTCCTCTCAGCAAGTGTTCGTGCCCCCCACGGGGCAGTGTGTCGCCCAGTGGTGGCCAGCGCACAGGCCGGGTCACTCAGAGTTAGAGGCGAAGGCCTGGGGGCCAGGACGGGCCGGAGGGCCAGCACCCCCACGGTCGGGCCCAGGGGTGCACGTTGGGAAGGCGCACTTCTCATCCCTGTGGCCTCGAGCTCCGTGGGTTCCACCTTCCGCCTTCTCGTGCAGAGTTCCCACCCGGCAGTCCCGGAGGGCACGCCCTGTGAGCACGAGGGCCCGGCTGGCTGTAGCTGAGGGCCCTCCAGCCGTCGGTGCCCTTCCGTGTCCAGTCACGGTCACTAACGGCCAATAAAGCAACGGACAAGGCCGGTGAGCCTGCGCACTTCCTGGGGTGAAGGCCGAGGAGAAGGGAGGCGGGCTGTCGGGGGCGAGGCGGCCGCTGGGGGCCACACGGTCATGCGCTGCAGCAGGTGGCTTCCTTCTACGTCCCGT